ATAGGTAGAGGGTGTGTAAATACTAACGATAAAAAGATAAACGGCTGAAAAATTACATGATATCGTATGGAAATAAAATAAATGTTTACTTGTGCCTACAAAAAATTATAAAAATATTTTAGAATCATATAATCGGATTAATTCAGAAAATAATAATGAGATGTTAATATTCAGCTTTTAAAAAAAAATCAATTTATTTTATTTTCATAACGGCCTTCATCTATAATTGTTTCAAAATTAAAATGTTAATTGTTTCATAGTTTAAGTAATTTTTGAAAATTAATTATTGCTTTTGGCCTTACGTAATTTTTAAAAGCGATACAGTTATGTTTTTTTTATAGTTTTACTTATTATAGCATTCAATTTATACATGAATTATCAACCGCGAAGTACAGTTAAAACGAAAAGCTTGATAAGAATTATTTTATAATTATAGATGGCATCTAAATAGTAACTGACCAAAATATATTTCAACTTTTAATTTATTGATACTTTAGGTGTGTTCGACACGGTGAAGACATTAATTTTATATGTTGAACGCACATCATGTCATTTCTTTTCATTTTCTATTTTAGTTTTTGATTTAATAAGAAATGAACCAGTCAAATAAGTTGAACTCATACCTAGTTATTGTCAGCACTATTTAAAAGTATGCATTACTTACCGATTTGCAATTTTTAAGGTTTGCGGATTGTTAATTTGAATACCATGTACGTTATATGGGAGAGACCTTGTCTGGATTTAATTCGTTACTTGCGACAACATAAATTTCAATATGTACTAGATGCCGCTCCTTCATAATCTCCAGTTAATGTCGACAAAATTGAAACAATGTTGCGCAGTAAATATTATCCTCAAATCAGTTTTGAATTATCTCTTTCAGTTTTGTTTGTCATATTTTCATACTTCATAAATTCTTATTTATATTTTAGTTTTGAACTGGTAATACATACTTTGAAAAATTCATTAGACAGTTATGAGGCTTTATTCATAAGTATTTTTTTTATCACCAAAATTATTTGATTCCTCCTGAAGCACCTTGTGTAGATATACATATATGTATAAATGTACTTTCATATAGTTTTCAAGATTCAAAATAAATATAGGAACTAGTACAATCCAACCCAAACTTAACTTAACCTACCATTGCAATAGGTTAACCTAACCTAACCTAACATGCTTTTTATGTTGCAACAGGCTAGGCTAAAGTTGGATTATATTACTTAAGTTCGATCGTCGATGATGAAAAAAGGAACTGGCGTAGCCTAACTTGATTTGAATGTTTCATCCCTCAATAGGTTAGACTACGGTTGAAATTAGGTTATGTTGGTTTCCTTTTTTTGGGAATCTGGAAACGAATGTGAAGAGATGACATATGTATGTCTAAATTTGTAATACCATTTTTCTAAAATAAACACAAAGTAATGACCGCTAATTGAAACAATGTTATACCATTTCAGTTTGTGATATCCTCTTTAAGTATTGCATTAAGTGCTCGCCTGGAAAACCTTTACGTGGCACCACATGCTGCTGCATATTCTGGAGCATCCACTGGATTTGAACCAGCTCATCAGCAAATACCCATCTTACGATACAGCAGCGATAACACAGAAGATGGTAACTACAGATACGCCTACGAAACTGGTAATGGAATTTCTGTCCAAGAGAATGGCCATGTTTCTGGATCAGTACCAGAAGGTCCAGCGGTGGTAGCTGATGGTGGTTATTCTTATACGGGATCAGATGGGCAGACTTATAGTATTTCATACACTGCTGATGAAAACGGTTTCCGACCTGTTGGAGCTCACATTCCCACCCCTCCTCCAATCCCAGAAGCTATTGCTAGATCGTTGGCAGAAAATGCAAAAAGCGGTGATGATGGTGATGATGGCCAATATCGGCCATCTGTTGGTAATAGGTACTGATTCGAAATAAATTTATTATATCAAGGATTGAAGCTCCATGAATTGTTCATGTGCAGATATTCTCACTGTTACCTGCCTATGTAAATAAAACAATTGCAATATTTATTTTCTTTTAATTGTATCAATAAATTTTAAAACGCTGATTTTAAAAGAAAAAGCGGAGATCTCCCATACCGTAATTTGAATTAATTAAGTGGTATAAACCACTTTCTATGTCTATAGCAGGGAAGCTTTTCCCACCATAAACTAACCAATAAGAAAAACATTATTTTTTTAAACATCCTTTTTCCGCCATAAAAACCTTCGGCGAAAAATAAGGAAATAAGGGTAAAAACATTAGAGAATAAAAAGAAATTCATCTGCAGTGGTTACCTTCTTAAAGACATAACGTGCAAAAGAAATAAGATTCACTCTTATTGTGAAACACAAATCTCAGTTTATTATCAACGCAACAAAAGAAATTGACTTCGCCAAATTAAGTTTCGTTAAGTGTTATACATCGCTGGTCCTTAAATTATCAAGAGAACAGAAGCTGTGTTTTAACACCTTAAATCACAACACCATAAAAGAGAATGAGATCCACAAAAGTGTTTTAATCGTTGACTAACCATCCTGTACACCCCTTTCAAAATGGCCATTTTTAACAAACTGGGGATAAACAAATTTAATTTTTCAAAAACTGCTCAACCGAAGCTCATCTTTAGCAGACTTTTTCACTACATCAAAACTTTAATATAGTTGTGCACAATTTTGATAAATATTTTAAAAGTTATAAATCAATTGTATTTTAAGTGCCTGGCCACTTGGGCTTAAATACTAACCGTTTCGGTTTAAATATGACCCTTTGTAGATCTATGTACGAACTAAAAAAAATTTTGTTTGGGTGTTTCATTCCCAGCAGGCACTAATGCTGGTGAGCGGGCAGTCCTTCCGGACTATGCCGGAAGGTAGGGCGGCAGGCCCTCTTCAGCCTCCTTTCAGAAATCGTAGGACTGGGTGGGTGGTGATTCAGGTGAGAAAGATGAAACGGACGAAATAAAGACAGAAGAGAATGAAAGATTATCTGTGGAATATTACTGCCTCAGCATTTGTCTAGGGGATCCAAGGGAACCACAGAAAAACTTGGACCAAGGCAGACGGACCCGGAATAGAACCGGCGTCCTCCCGAATGCTAATCAATGGTCTAAACCTCTAGGCCATGCCATTCGATATAAATACGGACAATTTCCATTTACTTAAACAGTGAGCATTCATATTTAAGTGCTGACATTTAACTCCAAACTATACTGATCATATGAATTCATATTTAAAAGGATGATGACTAAAAGAGACTATAATACTGACCAGTAAAATGTAAACCTTTCTTTATTATGAGATAAATTCATAAATTCCGTAAATTGAGCAGTTGGGCCATGTTTTTTGTGGTAAAGCTCGCATACAAATAACTTGTGTACATTTATGAGCATTTTCTGTACCTATGATCTGTTCTTTACTCACAATTTGATTATTGATATTAGAGGAATTTGTATTTATTTACTCCATGCACATACTTAAGTGGCATGCGTGATTCTGCTAAATCAAAAGTTTCGATGATCTCATAAATATCCAATAACTTTAAAACGAAGAAAGGAAACAGTTTCATGTATTAATAAGAGATAAACTCATTAAATTATTCCTTCGTCAAAAATATAAGAACATTAAGTTCTTAGTCAGAAATTTTAATTAATTGAGACTGTCATGGCGGGCTAATGAGATCTAAAGAGAAGGCTAAAATACTAAAAAATAGTCTTCAGCTGTTACAATTTTTGCGTTTACCCTTTTCCGAATTCTTTAAACTTTGTTCATATGAACGGCGCGATAACGCCTAGAACAAGCGACCCTTTTAATAACTACTGGCACGGTTCCTGATGACAAGAACTCTTTTATACAGGTAGTCTTTCATAAGTCGTCGATACTAAAAAATATAAAAGCAGCTCAGTAATATTATTCACCTGTTTTGTGAAAGTGTTAGTTTTTGGTTTTTTCAATATACCTTAAAGGTGAGTTATTTCACTAATTTTACTTGATGAATCAATCGTAATTTATTTACGTTAATTATTATGAGATTTTTATGATTATATTTGAATATAACATTTTATTTTGAGAACTATGCGAGATGACCCTTCATACTTTACTAGTTGTTTATAGAGCGGGTACTATGCGAGTTGGCCCTTAGTACCTTAGTGGAAGCACACTATTACACTGTTTACCATAATAGGTACTCTAGACTAGCTTAATTTATTTTCTGAGGAGGTATTTCGCGTGTTGACCCTTAATACCTGTGATCCGGAAGAGATTCTAATATAAATCATGAACTACTTCGGCAGTCGCTTATCTGATCGTCCTTCGTTATTGTAAGCATCAAGTAACGAAACACATATACCTACTTATGACCTTCGCAACAGCTGGTATGCAGACAGGTCAATTCCACGCGATGATTAGTATAGTCTGCAGTATGCAGTTACCGTTTGAAGTTGAACTTCAATACAGCAAATGTTCCTTAAAGTCAAGAGATTGACTCTGAACTATAAAGTCCAAGTCACCGAAAAAAAAAAAATTGTGACTAGGGGTCCTCGGAAATACACCATATTTAAGTAAATCGCGACAGAATGTTTGGTTTTGCAGAAATGGAATAATTCATTATTCATTTCGTTTAATTTATTTATTGGTGGTTTAATTAGTAGCTCATATATTTCTGTTTGTTTATTTTACAGGTGTGTCATCTCAGACATATCAGTCCATTGATACATACGTAATTTAGTGCTTTCATTTTTATTGTTTAGGATTAGTTGATGAGATAGGTTCAAGCCATCGTAAGTAATTTACTTAGTTATACATTTGTTATCTTAGATTCATTTTTTTTCAGGTTGAGTTTTGTTCAACATAAAATAAATCTGTAGTTCTTAGGCTTTCACGGCCGCGATAA